ATATTTTCTAATGTTTCCTTCAACATTTGAAAAACTTTTATAAATTATGGCTAAAATAGCAGAGTGTACTTCTTTATAGCAGAGTGTATTTATATTGACTGATATAGCTATGAGTGCAGTGGAGTGTACATACATCAACTGAAAATTTTTGGCTTGGGCAGGTACTCTTTTAATTAAAAGAGTACCTGCCCAAGCCAATTAAATTTTTAATTAAAATTTTTATAGGCCATCTTTTTTCTTGTTAAACTATATTTTCTATATCTCTACTAAGCGAAAAATGTTGTGGCAGGCAATTTTTTAGTGGTCCACATTCGCAGATTAATCAAATATGTTTGCTGCAAAAATGTATCAATCTCCACTTAAAAACAAAAGTGTTTTTTGCTTTATCAAAAGTAGTATTTTGTATTAGTAGTATTTATTGAGTTTGCGATAAAAAATGATTGAGGAAAAGTTAAGATTTTTACTTCTCGTCAGAAAGTTATACATGAATATTTATATATTTATTTATTTATGAATATTTATATATGGCAAAGAGTAAAAAGAAAAAGAAAAAAAGATTTTATTTTATTTAGGATTAGAGAACAAGTTTCAAAAAATTTCAAAAGATTCAAATTATGGAATAATTCTTAAAAAAATATGCCGATTTAATATTATGTAGATTTAATCATTTAAAAAGTTAAAAAAAAATATGTTTTCATTGCAGATGATGCATTTGGATTAAAAAAACACACAATGAAGCCCTGTGCTTTTAAAAATCTTTTAACTGATAAATTTGTCTTCAACTAAAGACTTAGTAGAGCACAAAGAGTTATTGAAAATGCATTTAGTATTGCTTCAAGTAGATTTTGTATTTTTCACAAACCAATTATAAATAATGTTGAAAAAGTTATTGCAATAAAGGCTGTAGTTGCTTTACACAATTTTCTTATGACTGAAAATGTAAATAATGATAATAGTCTTTCAAACTATGTTGAGTAGTATTACAAACTATGTTGAGTAGATTAGCAATTATATTGTAAAACAAGTAAAACTTAATTAAACATAAAAATTTATTTTGAGTAAATATAGCGATAATTACCTTTTTATTTTTTGTCTTTATTTGAAAAACATAACCAATAAAGTACAACTTTTAAAATTCTAAATGTCTTGGTATTCTACTCCAAATTCTATTTCAAATAAAAAATGATTTATTTTTAATTTAACTAATCTGGTCTTTTTTATTGATAATCCTTACCACACAGGAACAAAGTTATTACAAAAAGAAGATATTTCACAGACTGTTTTGATTTTTTCTTCCAAAGAATCGACAATGCAATTTATTGTCAAGTTCCATCATTTTTTAAAAAAGGTTATCAAATTTTTTTACTACTGATTTTTGCTTCACATTAACATGTACATCTTTGCATCTCTCACTTGAATCATCAGCAGAGATGAAAGAATGAGAAATTGTAAGAGAGGTTATCAATTCTGTGGTCAAACTAATATTACAGGGTGTCCACTCTGCTTGAAACTGGACAAAAAGCTGTTTTAAAAAAACATGCTGGAAAAACTGGAAAATTAATGCTATAAGTAACATTGATGCTGGAAAAACTAGAATTTTTTTTTTTATTGTTGTTTAGTAGCTTAATTTGTGTTTAGATATTGATTTTTTAAGATTATTTTAAATCTTACTAACAATTCTTTTGAAAGTTTTAATTTAGATTAGTTATTTTAGTATAAATATAGAATTAGTTAAAAAGTGAAGCATCAAAGACAATTTAAAAAAGACTGGTTGAGCAATGATAACTTTAAAGATTGGCTAAAGACAGATCTTAAAGATGGTATTAAAGCAAGATGTATGGATTGCTACAGGTCAATAGAACTCTCTTCAAGCGGGCACTCTGGCTTAACAGATCAGGCAAAAGAGCAAAGCATAATATAGAATTAAAAAAAAGTGAAAGGATTTTTTACAAAACCAAATGAGTCAATTACAGAAAAACAAAAGGCATTAGACTTGTGTCAAAAAACTAGATGTTACTAAGGCTGAAATTATTTTGCAGATTTAAAAGTGGTTTTTCTCTACATTGAAATGATGACTTAAGCCATGTTTTTACAGCTATGTTTCCAGACAGTGCCATAGCAAAACTTCATACAAGTTAAATCATGGTTTAGCTCCTTATTTTAAATAAAAATTTTAAAACTGTCAGACATACATGTCTATTCTTTTGATGAGAGTTTAACTAAGGTCACTCAATCCTCTGAAATGGATATTTATATTAGATTTTGAGATGTTAATTGAAATTGTGTAAATGTCCGTTATTTTGGATTAAGTTTCTTAGGTCATACAACACTCCAAGGCTTATTGACTCATTTCAAGTTCCAAAACATTGGTGCTGGAATTTAAGTGCTTTTTCAATACTGATGCTGGAATAAGAAATGGATTTTATCACCAAAATCCTGGAAAAACATCTAAATGAAGTAATAAGTGTTGGAATTTTTTTTAAATTTTGAGCGGACACCCTCCCTGAAAGGGACACCCACCCTGAGAGTATTACTCTCAGTTGGTTTTTAAAAATTTGTCAATTCAGTGGTCAATTTCATATTAGTTGGTTTGTTGGAGCTTTTTTTATGAAGGAAACCATTTGATTGAATTATTTACACTTTGGCAACAAAAGTGCTCCATCTCTAGATCTTGTAAGAGCTTGTCTTTAATCTAAAAAATTTTTTAGATTATCTTTTAAATTCTTCAATTTTTTTTTTGTAGAACAAATGTTAAATACAGAAAGTAACAGAAAGTATACTAATACTAAAAATAGAAAGCAAATGTTTACCATTTACTGTCTATTTTTATTTTAGCGGTTGCTTTTGATAATGCAAATCTCTATATTTAAATGGTAATCAAGCCATATGATTACTCTATTTTTTACATATATATAAATATTTATATATATATATATATATATATATATATATATATATATAAATATATATAAATATATACATATATATATATATATATATATATATATATATATATATATATATATATATATATATATATATATATATATATATACATAAATGAGTATTTGTGCATACCATACCATCTTGATAAAAAGATAATAAAAGCTGTTTCCATAAATTTACTTTCATGTTTCAATCTCTGTAGCTTTTTTCGTTTATGTCCCAGAGACACTGAAACTTTTGAAAAGCCTCAATAAAGCTTTCTTTATAAAATACACCTCGAAATTGATCTTTATATAGTTCATTTTCATTGTCTTTTATCAGAAGTATCCATATTTATTCTTTTGTTGTTGTTTTTTTATTTAAAAGTAATGTAATTAGTTTATTTTGAAACAATAAATAGTTGAGGAGCAAAAATTTAATAACCTTTCACATATTGCGTAATGATTTTTTATTCATCTGTGCAAATAACTGAAAGGTTATTAACTTTTTATTAATGATTTATTATTGATTCATCTGCGCATGTGGATCACCCGCCACGACACTTTCTGCCTAGTGGAGAACAGCCCTTATTGGTATGTTTTCAATACTTATTTATGTTAATATTTTTAACAATAGTTAGCTTTATAAGAACTAACTATTTTGAACAAATCTTATAAGTAGAAACACAGTTTAGTTAAACTTTATAAGTAATAACATAACTCTCTTTAAATTTAATAACTCTCTTTAAATTTAATAACTCTCTTTAAATTTAATACTTTTTTACATTTTTTAAAAATGTATTAAGTATTAAAATTATAGTAAAATTCAATTATTTCTTCTACAACCAGGTGGAAAAAGAGTTTAGTGAAAAAATTTTCCAGAAATTTATTGTTTTTTTGTATTCACTCTTCAATCACTGCTATTAAGTGATAATGGGCAGATGGAAAAGACAAATCTTTATTCCAATAGGAATTTGACATGGATAAAAAAACTCACTTAACAAGAGCATGTGTTTTAAAAGATGCTCTTAAAACATGTTTGAAGTTTCTTAAAACATGTTTGAAGTTTCTTTGTATTCTTTATCTGATGACTATTTCAGATAACAAACTAAACACGCAACAACCTTTATTAACAGATTTAATCATTTAAAAAGTTAACTAAATAACTGATATGTTCATTTCTCCAGTTTCAATGATTTTAATAAATAATATATGTAATAATTTTTTTTTACATATTAATCATTTGAACACTGTTTCATTGTGATTGAGATTCATTGGTTCCAAATACTTTTCAAGGTTATTCTAAGTTATTTGTATTTCCACTAAATATGTATTATTACTATAAATTAAAAAAAAATGTTACTCAAAATTATTTTATCATATTTATGTTTAGTGATGTAAAGTTTCATGAAGAAAACAAAAATAAATTGTATCCTAGCTACCAGCAGTGCTAGTTTTATAACTTTTATCTTCAAACTTTACTCTTTTTTTGTAGAACTGAATTTTATTTTAAGTTTGTAAAAATGTTTCTTAAATTTTACAAAAACATGAGAATCATTCTTTTTATTTTATCAAAATACTTTTGTAAGATTTTTGTAAATGACTGCGTTTATTATAATAAACTCTTTTTTTCTATATTTTGCTTTAGATGTTTTTAACTTAATTTTACTTTTTGTTTCTAGAAATTTTAACAACACTAGGGTGTTAGTCAGGAATATATTTTTTACCGCGTTTTTGAAATATTGAAAATATTTATTATTGTTTTACAAAATATTGGGAATTTTTATTGAAATTATCTTATTACTTCGAAGAAAAAAAAAAAGAAAAAAAAAGGTCATTGATTTTTGGAAATTATTAACCCATTGGGAATTTTGAGTAATACGTGGTACCATTGGGCTGGCTAACATCCTGAACATTGTCATAAATATATATATATATATATATATATATATATATATATATATATATATATATATATATATATATATATATATATATATATATATATATATATATATATATATATATATATATATATATATATATATATATATATTTATGACAATGATTTGTATATACATATATACATTTGTCATTGTCACAAAGGTGGATTAATATTATAAAACTTTTTTGATGCCATTCATGGCAGTTCACTACTCAGCGTAGTTAAGGAGAGAAACAGCTGAAACAAATTTGTTAAGTATTTAAATTCCAAAAATGTCTTTTTTATTTGAAAGTAAAATGATTTCTTGTTTACAGCATTAAAATATTGAATAAATGACTAAAAACCTCTTATTTTATCTTTTTGTAAACAGTAAAAATGTTAAAATCGAAGTTTTCACATTAGTTTTCACTCCTACCAATTTACTTCTATAATCTCTTTATATTCGCTTTAATAAATTACTAAACAAAATGTTTCAGCTTTTATATAACTTCTAAAAAAATAAACGAATCAAAATACGCAAAAAATTTTTTTTTTTTTATTTACCTCCTCAAGGTTGAGAAGGCCACTGCAGACGAGGAGGCTACTTAATAATGGTTATAACCAACTCTCAACTCTATAACTCTGAAACACAAACCTTGATGAACAAGGCCGCTGCGCGGAGAAACAAGTTGAGCGCGGTACTACCAAGGATGTGGTGGGGATCGAACTCGAAACCTCTCGTTTATGAAGCGAGTGTTTTACCACTACACCACTACCGCATATAAAACAGCATTTTTTATTTTAACAAAAGGGGCTAAATGCTATATTTCTCTATGGATCTCTCCTTAACTAGGCTGAGTAATTAAAATTGATCACAGCAAAAAAATTTCTTTACAAAAATAATTTTTAAAAAAATTACAAAATTAGTGGAAATTACCCAATTTTTCAAAATTACCTGGATAAAGGGGGGAAGTAAAACTTACAAGGGTAGCAAGTTACAAGGGTAGCGGGTAAGGTAATACTCGGTTAAGAAACAGAAATCAATACCAAGGTGTTAGTCAGTAGAAGAAGAAAAAAAAAGACTAAATTTTTTTTTTTTTTTTTCATAGACCTTCAGAAGGTGATTTTCATTTTGTTATGATTTCAGACAATGATTGTAGAGATGTAGCTGTTCCTCCTGCAGGTTTAATGTTAATTATTAGCATTAAAATTAATTTTAAATGTGAAAATTATTTAATACTAATATCATAATATAATGTATAATAAACACCTGACAAAAGTTTGATGTTATTGCTGTCTGTTTTTATTTTTAAATTATTTTTAAAAGGTACTTATTTCTACATTTAGGATTAATTCTGATTTTTATTTAATCAATATTCTTGATCCAAATGGGTAATTGTTTCCAAAATCATCAAGATTTTGGTTTATGATAAAGCATAAATAAAAGTTTTAGAAACAAAACTCCTTAGTATGTGACTGTCTCAAAAGATGAGCTGGAGTATGCTACTGTCTCACTAAAAAGTTGAGCTGGAGTATGTTAACAGATACTTTAGATATACATCATTTGGAGAAATCTACTCAAAAATTACAAATTTGTATAATTTTATAATTTTACAGATTTGTATAATTATTAATTAAATTAATTTAATATTATTAATTTAATTAAATATTGTAGAAAAAAACTTACTCTATTTTAATAAAACAAGAAAAAAAAAACAAAAAAAAACAGCCAAGTCTTTGATTTAACAATAGGCAGGTACAACAAAGCAGAAATTTGTAAATTTTACGGTTTATATATTTTAAATTTTTTAACTAAAATAATTCAAATTAATTGTTTAGGTCTTTATCATGATAACAGTTAAATATTAACAAATAAAAATTATGGCTGCAACTTGAAAAAATCAGAAAAAAAAGTTTTTTTAAAAACATTGACCATGTAACAAAAACATTTGAACAAACAGCAAAATCTTTTGTGAAATCAAAAGGATAACATCCCCGCTCCCTCTCAGATAAAAGATAATAGTTTTTTAGAGATGCATGCTGTTTGCAAGAAGTTTTGTTAAAATTATTTAATAAAAAAATTAGAGTTTATATTTATAGTCATAAAAATAGGTACTTTTTAAAAAATTGTAAAAGCAAATTACCAAACTAAATCTAATCTTGCCTATTGAATTTTTTACAATTATGTTTATATATATATATATATATATATATATATATATATATATATATATATATATATATATATATATATATATATATACATATTTATCTAATGAAATTGATGCAAATGATTTATGCTAAGCTCTATTTTAACTCTAAAGTTATATATATATATATATATATATATATATATATATATATATATATATATATATATATATATATATATATATATATATATATATATATATATATATATATATATATATATATATAATATATATATATTATATATATATATATATATATATATATATATATATATATATAATATATATATATTATATATATATATATATATATATATATACATATATATATATATATATATATATATATATATATATATATATATATATATATATATATATAATATTCAGCCTAGCAATGTGATGTCATACTGAAATATGTTGTTATGAAGGTTTTTTTGACTATATAATTATAACATGCAAGGGAGTGTAGCTACGAAAAAAAAGTTAGGTATATCTATATATTTTATAGTAGCCTCACTTTATCTCATGTTTTTTTCTTTCTTTTGCAGCTGCTATTTTTAATGGTAATTTATTTTAAATCTTTTTCACAAGAACAACTTTCTTGAGAACAAACGTCTTTATATCATTGCATGAAATTGATGCAAAAGATTTATGCTAAGCTCTATTTTATCTCTAAAGTTAGGTTCTAGAGACTTTTGGAAAACTTTTAATGTTGTTAAGTCTGACTCTCATGCCTGGGTCTGATCTTATTACCTCTCGCAAAATCCATTTTTTAGCTAAATTCGTTCAACAGAATAGTTTATGAGTGGAGTAAACATCTGTTGTCAGTTTATTTAAAACTATATCTTCAACAATGGAAAATTGCGATCAGTTTTCCAATTATTTAATGAACTTAAACAGATCTGTGGTCATTGGTATTTGATTGTTGTTTTTCTTTAAAAGCTTGAATAGTCAACTCAAACAGATCTGTGGTCATCTTGAATTTTCGGTTGAAGCAACTAAAGTTTGAGAAGTTTTTAGAAAATTTCAAAAAAAAAAAATAATAATAATTAAAAAAAATACATCTGGAGCAATAACAAATGTGATAAACAAAATAATGATAAAAAATAAATAATAAAACCACAAAGCTTTTAGCTGCGCAACTAAATTTATGTACTACAGATTCTATTGCTTCTTTTATTAATTGTGCAAGGACTGATAATTATTCAAAAGTGTATACTGATAATGAAATACTATTAGTATTTATTTCTATTAAATGTTTGCTTTATCTGCTACTACACAAACTGCTGGTTTATTAAAAAAGATTTCAACTAAAGTTTCAGAAACAAACAATAAAACCTTTTATTTCTTCTCTAGTTCAAACACTTTTTTATAATTTAGGAAGTTTTTTTCCTAAAATAATTGTAAGGTATTTGTAAAAATAGAAATCAAAACAGACTCGTTTTACTTAGTTTATAAATCCAAATTTTAATACAAAACTTTATTTTTGACTTATTAAAAACTGTGACTGTTACCTGAACAAAAAAATTTAAAAATTAAAAAAAAATAACAGTTTGAACAATAGCAAAAATACTTGAAATCACAAAATTTAAAATAAAAAGAAAGTTACATTATGCTATTGTAATTTTTTTCATTTAGAGTTTCAGTTTTTTTTTTTTTTTTTTAGACTGTCATGAAGCGGCTGTTTCAAATAAGAAAGCTAATCAAAATAAACACAACATTAAAAAGGATCTTTTATTGCGTATAAAAGAAAAAAGCACAGCTTTAAAGTTTAAGGAAACTGAATTCAATTCTACGAGTAATAAAGTTATTCCAAAAGATAAGTACGATATGTCTTCTTCTTTTACGATGGTCAAGTCATCTACCAATTATCTAAATGGTAATTATAATGAAATAAAAAGTAGAGAAATTCGAGATCAAGACTTATTTTCATCTAGGAAAATCACTGAAATGTATGTTAATATATTTAATACCCCAAAAATGTTTTTACAAACATTTGCTTTAATAGATTTGTATAGATATTTAGTATCCTATTTCTACAAATATTTTAATAGGCTTATATAGATTATAGTGGTAATTTACATAACTTTTAAATCTAATAAGACTTTTTACACAAATTTGTATCAAACTTCTAATGTTATTTTTCTAACAATGACACTAATTTTATAGTAATTAGGGTATATTAATCAGAGACATGTTTTTTTTTTACTAATATTTTTAAATGTTTTTAGAGTAAAAAATGTTTTATCAACAGAACCCCCTTTGTTTTGCTTTAAACCAGGTAAACATACATATTCTTAGTTTGTTTATATAAGTAGTATAGACTGACATTTATTATTATGTTTATTACGTTTGTTTAAATATTTACATTTATTTGAATATTTAATCATGGTTTTTATATTTAAGGAACTTTTCGAGTTATTTTATGTGTCGATAATTCAGAAACGTTAGGGAGGTAATTTATTATCATTTTTTGTTTGGATTGCTGAGATAATAATTTTAGTAATAAGTTTGATAATTAGTGAAAATAACATGGTTCTTTTTTGTACTTGAATACTAGTGGCAAAAGAAAGAAAGAAATGGCAGACAAGTTGTCACAAAGTGGTAAACAATATTTTTGATTTTAAGTTATTACAGCTGTTTATAAGTTGGATAACCATCACTTATAAATTGTTTATGGAAAATAACATTTAAGTTTTGTTTCATTGTTTAGGTATCCCTATAGATACTCGTAAGCTGCAGGTTGGTGATTTTCTTTGGATTGCAAAAGAAAATTCAGGTATTGTAAATTTTTTATTTTTGTGTAGACTTAAATTGTATATAAAAACATTTGTCTCAAATAATCTTTTTATTTTTTTTTTTTATTTAACTTAAAAATAGAGACATAAAAACAATAGGTTAATTTTATAACAATCTTATATGTGAATTTTTTATAA